CACTGTATATATATATATATATATATATATATATATATATAATTTCAGCTCACAGAGAGTGACTCCCGCATTCTTTTTAACTCTTTTCATTACAGTCCGGACAAATAGTAGACTAATCCCACCTAACATTAAAGTTTTTAAATATACTTTTATATTGCATTTTGTGATTTCACATTCAATCTTCAAATGAATGTACAAACAACATAAAGACAGTATTTTTTATATTTGTTTAATGGCATCTTCTTATATGACTGAAGGCCAGTATCAATGATACCAATACTGATTTCTCTATAAAATTGCCCCCCATATATAACCTTTGACTATAGCCATTCAACATTACAGTATAATTGAGAGCTATCAATTTTAACATTTATTAGACTTTAAAAAATAACTTCCAATTTAAGCGAACTTAAACCAATCTTCACATAAACCCATTATAATAAATGTCATATTTACCTGTGCCCTTCAGCAGAAATATACAGAAATTGAAATTGTCAAAACATTAAATTATAAATTAAATATAGATGAATCCTTAAAGCTATAAAAGTTATTGTTTCCTTTTTTTTCTTTGCCCTTTGAGTAATAGACATCAGAGCAGCTGGTTATCAGGTTGTTTTGGCTGTTATTTCTTTAAGAGCTGCCGCTGCTGAACGTGACACGGATCTGACACACATGATATTTTCTCTCAACTCTTTTTACCTTTTCTGACCCACTTCAGATCTTAAAGTATCTATTAAGTCTGACGAGTTAAATCGGGTGTGTTAGATGAGTGAGACAGTGCTGGGCTGCTCCAGGACAGTTTTGAAAACCATTTCAGAGACATGTTCTTAAATGTGACTCATATAAAATATATTACATGCATGCACAGTTTTAAGGCAGCTTTAATCGTCTTTTTGTTAACTTCATAACTTAACTGACCACGACATTGCATGCACGTAGTTTATTTTTTTATGAACTTCTTATAAACCGTTCTTAGTTGTTCTGTGACTGAATAAATGCACTTCTTGTCAAGAGAAAAAGTGACGGAAGCAGCGGTTGTGAGTGGGGTGGCCAACCCTAGCCCCGCCCCTGCATTAATTGAACTTTTTTCATAATTAAATTCCACAGAGGAGCTACGTTTTAATTTAGGGCCCCGTGAAATGCATTTTATTTTCCCCTAAATTCTGTGTTTTCCATTTGATTTCTTATGGATTCTGTGTTTTATCATTCAGTACAAATTTATCATAAAAATGGTGTCTAGTGAAATTAATTAATAAAAATGTAACTCCTTTAAAATGCAATCAAATGAAAATCAATTGAAAAACATTGCATTTTTATATTTTTTTATTTTATTTTATCAGACATGATGCTGCACAACAGAACTGTATAAATTAATTTTGATTTCTTATGGATTCTGTGTTTTATGATTCAGTACAAATTTATCATAAAAATGGTGTCTAGTGAAATTAATTAATAAAAATGTAACTCCTTTAAAATGCAATCAAATGAAAATCAATTGAAAAACATTGCATTTTTATATTTTTTTATTTTATTTTATCAGACATGATGCTGCACAACAGAACTGTATAAATTAATGATAATAAAAAAACTTAGTTGTATGACATTCCTTAAAAATAATAATATTATTATTATTACTTTGAGAATTGCATTGTACTATACAGTAGTAACATATTCAGTAATAATTTCAAGTTAAACCGGACTTTTATTTAGAAGGTCTTTCAGTTTCAGTTTCAGTGTATTCGACCGTACTTTTTCTCAAATGAAACGGCATAAAGCTGGTGAAGTGACTCTCAGAGCAGCTCTGAAGATGAAGTGCATGTGTTCATGTCCTCATATATTGAGACGCAGATGCTGAAAACACCGCGAGTCATGTGTGTTTGAGTTTGTGTATCAGATGAAACTACTCCACCCATTCACACAGACACACAGAACATGCAGACTTATTAGCGACATGCACTGACTGGTTGCTGTAACATTTATTTCTGTTGTGTGATAGGATGTTAGATTAATCCATATTGAGTAAAAATGTCCAGAGCTTATCATCATCATTTACATAAAATGTATGCGCTAATTTAGGCTATTTATAGAACGTGCTTGGCAGGCGACTCAAGAGACTCCATGCGGGCTACCAGGTGCCTACGGGCACCACGTTGGTGACCACTGGTCTAGATATTATCCTAATGAGATGGAGGATGATGTACTGGGGTATCTCCTGCCAGACCTAGATCAGGGCATCAAGTCAAGTCAAGTCACTATTATTTATATAGTGATTTTTTACAATGCAGCTTGTGTCAAAGCAGCTTTAAATGATTAAACAGGGAAAATTGTGTGACAAAATAATGTGCTGTTTTCCTATGGCCAGACGAAACCATTAATTCTAGGCTGCAACAAAGTCAGATTGTGCAGAGGACTTATCTGGTTCCCGTGGCCTTGTCCCGATGGCTGACGAGGTCTTCGGAGGGGATCGATCTCTGGGGCACATCTAGTTGACATGGCTGCTTCAGATGCTCCGGTACATAATGTCCCAGAGGTCCTCAATTGGCAGGTCTGGGGAATGCGAGGGCCAGTCAGTGGCATCAATGCTTTCATCATCCATAAACTGCCTACACCAGGGGTGCCCAAACTCGGTCCTGGAGGGCCGGTGTCCTGAAGAGTTTAGCTCCAACCCCAATTAAACACACCTGAACCAGCTGATCAAGTTCTTACTAGGCATACTAGAAACTTGAAGGCAGGTGTGTTGAGGCAAGTTGGAGCTAATCTCTGCAGGACACCGGCCCTCTAGGACCGAGTTTGGGCAGCCCTGATCAGAAACGCCGCTCCGCCTTCGCTCCATGACAAAATTTGCAGCTAAAGTATTTCAGTATGTTTTAAAATATCACAAAGTTCTGTTGAGAATTTATATTAAATGAAAAATAAAGACATAATACTGAAGAATAGTTTTAACGTGATTTATTGGAACATTACAATTAGCCCAAGTCTATATTAAATGACTGTTGAACTCACTTGTCTGTGTGGTGTTTAGAAAAGTTTTTAGAAACAGAAAGAATATGCTGTAATTTTTCCGTTTTTAAGATGATAAATCTTGTACACGTGATGGAGTGCTAGTAGAGTGCTCTCTGAGCAAAAAATCCACTCCTTGCTCCAGTCAAAAATCATGCCGCTCCGCTCACATACTCTGAAGTGAAGTGAACCTGAGGGTGCAGGTACTAGAGACAAATCAGTCAGGAACAATAAGAAGAGAGCAAATGTATGTGGCCATCACCTGCAAAACCATTCCCCTTTTGGGGGTTGTTTTGCTGTTGCCTCTCCACTGCACCTGTTGTCACTTTCATCTGCACCTAAGCAGGAGAAACTGATTCACAATCACTTTATACTTCCTAACTGAAGCGATTAATATCCCTGAAGTTAAATTGATGATATACTGTGATGATTAAGTGTTCCCTTTATTTTTTGGGGCAGTGTATTTCAATCTTGCTTCAATTACATGTCACATAACACATGGTCTATAGATGATGAGAACATTTTCATTTTGAGTGCACCCTTTACATATATAGTACATGAAAACACATAACATCCTGATAACTGTTTTCATTGATCAGAGGAACACAGAGAAAGAGAAATCAGCCAGTGTTAAGCTCTTCACTGATCTGATCCGCTCCTTTGAGAGATGTCAGTCTGAGCTACTGAAGATGATGGAGGAACAGCAGAAAGCAGCAGAGAAACAGGCTGAAGATCTCATTAAAGAGCTGAAGCAGGAAATCTCTGATCTGAAGAAGAGAAACACTGAGCTGGAGCAGCTCTCACACACTGACGATCATCTGCACCTCCTACAGGTCTGTCAACATCTGTCTCATCACTGAGAATGCAGAATATTATTGTTCATATGCTCTGCTGACAAACCTGATGAGCTGCTGTAAGCTACATATAGATAAAGATCTAACTTTACTGTAGGTTCTAAGCTTTAAAAATCATACAGAATTGAAAGAAGCCATAAAATCACATTAGCTAAATGAGTTAAGGTAAGATGCTACAGACAAAAACATTGTAAAACACTTTTATGTTTATTCAATGCAATATATCTATTTGCAGCTGTAGAATTTTGTTTCCTTTACAATACATATGTTTGAAGGCTGTGATTTTTTATTTTTTCTTCTGCACTGAGCAGTTTTATTTTAGTATCATTCAGATACTATTATAGTTTAGTCATATTTTAAATTAGTTTATATTTTTTGTTTTCATTTTAATTGTTTTAGTAATTGTGTTTATTACTTTTGTTAGTTTTGTTTCTATCTATATTCTGAAGAGTTTTAGAGAAGGTTTGTCCATATACCTGATTTTAAATGACATTTTATTCATAAAAGCATGGTGAAAAGGTATTTTCTTCTGGCTGTTGACAATATTTATGGAATGATTAAAATGGAAAACCAAAATCTCATTTGTAAAACCCTTTAACTCTAACATGCCAATAATATAAAACAAGAATTTGGAAGATAGCTTTATCCATTGTCCTCAGATTTCTGTTCTGGATTATTAATGCAATTTAGTGTATATTTATTTAGACAATGCATCATTTGCATATTTAAATATTTCAGAAAACTTGTAATACAGATGATATTTGCAGTTATTTGGGGGACCCCAAAGCTGATATCCATACTTTGGATACCCTAATCACCTGGGGGTGTCTTGCCTTAATTGTAGTAGAAAGCTCTTGCTTAAAAACATTTTGAATGAATGAATGAAACATATTTAATTAAAATAATTAAAAATAGAAAAAAAATACATATTATTTAATAGTCGTCTCTCTCCTGCTGTAGATGTACTCATCCCTATACAGTCGTCCACACATCAAGAACTGCACTGAGATCAGTATTGATACTGATGTGAATGTGCTCCCTCTGCATAGAGCTCTGACTCAACTGAAGAAAACACACAAGGCTCTAAATAAAAAACTCAGTAAATCAGGTATGTGAATCAGATACAGTGCTCCTATGTCACAATACCTGTCTTTGGGAGTATCCTCGAAAAAAACTGTCGGTTATGACTTAAAGGGGTCATATAATGCGATTTCAAGTTTTCCTTTCTCTTTGGAGTGTTACAAGCTGTTCGTGAATAGATAAGATCCCTCAAGTTGCAAAGAGTAAAGTCTCAAACCCAAAGAGATATTCTATTTAAAAGTTAAGACTCCTTAAACACCTCGTTTAAACACGCCCTACATGTCTACATCACTGTGTGGGAAGATTTGCATAACGCTGCCCAAATGTTTACGTAAAGAAGGCGTAACTTTTATTCTCGCTGTAGTATGTTGCTGCCGCCATGTCGTGGAGACGCTGTGCGTTTCGTTGCGAAAGCGGAAAAAGACAGTATAAGTCATTATAATCAGTAATTATGTCCTCACTAGATGCAACAAATGCCTCGTTTATAATGGGTTTTAATGTTTTTGTCTCGTCGCTCCGGGGACATGGCATCACAGTATGGTGAGGGGTGTAACATTTCCGTCACGTGCTTGAGGTATTCGGCCAATCACAACACACTGGATAGCTGGCAAATCACAGCACACCTCGCTTTTCAGACCGATGAGCTTTGTAAAAATCAACGTGTTTCAGAAAGGCGGGGCATAGAGGAGAAACATTAATGTACAGTATGTGGAAAATAATGTGTTTTTAACCTTAAACCGCATAAACGCATTTCATTACACCAAATACACAAAATAATGTTCTTTTTTAGCAACGTCATATGACCCCTTTAAGTGAAAGTAAACAGTTGGGAAAGAAATCGAATGTGTATCATGATAGTGGACGCACTGTCTTTTAAAGTGACCGTGCCTAGTTTACTAGCTGCTGTCAGTGTCCTTAATGTTAATCCAAGAAATTAAATGGGAGAAAATCCCTCACAGCTTTTTACTGAATTACTTTGTAGATTTAACAAGAATTAATCTATATTTATGTTATACAGTGAAGACTATGCAACGCTATTTTACATTTGATTATTCAGTTTCTGTACATGGACACCTACAAACTTGAAAAAAACTTAAACATTGTTTAATTTGCATCTTTGTTCTATTTATTTATTTGTGCTATTTACACAATTTCAAACAAAGCCAACGGATGTAAACTGCACTGGGGCCCCACAAACACCAGCTACGGCCCTGAAAATCAGTGCAGTGACAAATTTCTTCCTAGCTGATTAAACATGTTAGTTATTTTAAGTGTACGTTAACAATAACAAGTGTTTTAATGTTAACTATTTGTATATTGGGTATATTATTAATGTATATTAATGTTAGTGTTTTAATGTATATTATTTGCTTTTTGTAAACAATTAGTTGTGTAACACATTGACAAATGTTAGGTAGACTTTACCAAATTTCTTCTAGTGTGTTACAGCCGTTAAACTAAGTTAGTATTTATTCAGTTAATCTATCTAAACAAATTCAGTGCATATTGTTGCCATAATGTTATTGAGTAGATTCTATAGGTTTGATTTTACGGTGAAAAGAGATATAATTTTAGTAATAAATAAAATAAAAATATATATTTATCTATAATATTCCTATATACAATTCATCACACTTATATTGTCATCTGTGTTCACAGGGTTGGGATGGGCTCAGAAGTATGCAGGTACAGTGTGACTGACACCATTTTCTCCAATACACTTTAAATAATTTATAATCTGCTTTGCAAACATATGAAAATGTTTGTTCTGAAGTTGATTGATAATTTCTGATCTCTCATCTAGTGGATGTGACTCTGGATCCTGATACAGCACATCCATATCTCATCCTGTCTGATGATGGAAAACAAGTCAGTCATGGAGACAATAAGCAGGACGTCCCAGAAAACCCAAAGAGATTTGATGACTATTGTGTTCTAGCAAAGCAGGGATTCAGTTCAGGCAGATTTTACTATGAGGTGCAGGTGAAGAGAAAGACTGGGTGGAGTTTAGGAGTGGCCAGAGAATCCATTAACAGGAAGGGGGACATTAGTCCAAGTCCTGAGGATGGACTCTGGTCTATGGTATTGATTAATCAGAGGCAGTATATAGCTTGTGATAATCCAGCAGTCGCTTTCTCTCACAGAACGACACCTGCGATTGTGGGAGTGTTTGTGGATTATGAGGAGGGTCTGGTCTCTTTTTATGACGTGGGCTCCAGCTCTCATATCTACTCTTTCACTGATCAGACTTTCACTGAGAAACTCTATCCATATTTTGGCCCAGGCCTAAATAATAAAGGTAAAAACTCAAACCCACTTATAATTTCACCCAGGGGCGCCGCTAGCAATTTTGGGCCCTATGAAAGAATATGAGGTTGAGCCCCCTACCGCACCAAATATACACTATATTGCCCAAAGTATTGGGAAAACTCAAAACTCATCGCCAAACACCAATGACTTGTACATATGCGTACAATCATTTTAGACTCTTCCAAAACTGTGGCAACAAAGATGGAAATACAATTTTTAAATGCATGAATTCTGTTTTCATCTTTGATGACACAGTTTTGGAAGTGCCTTTTTCTGTTCTAAAGAAGGGGGTGTCCCAATACTTTTGTCCTTATGTATGTACAAGTCACAGGTGTTTGGTTATGAGTTTTTGGCTCAAGGTCTGCATTTAAAGTCACAGCAGAGGTGTTCAGCAGGGATTAGGACTTGGCTTTATGCAGACCAGTCAAGTTCTTCCACACTGACTGAATCAATCTTTAAAACATTTTTTTTACCTTGCCTTATACACGGAGACATTGTTGTGTTAGAATAGAAAATGGTCCTGTTCAAACTATTGGTATAAAATTAGAAGCACACAATTCCATAGAATAGCATTATATGCTTTTTTTTTTTTTTTTTTACTAAAAATGTTTTTTCCAAGGCATTGTTAGATTCTAGTGTTTCCTGTCATAGCTATGCAAAGATTTTGCTTTTTTTTTTTTTTTTTACTAAAAATGTGAAATTACTAAAGTAGTCAAACTTATTTTGGCAATATAGTGTATACTGTCTGCAGTTTAATAATATTGACCTATTACTTTTGCTCTTGCTTTTGACCATTAGGTATCAGTAACATAATTCATTCAGAACCTGTTTTATGGACATAGACTTTCTGTACCCCACTATTCTGCTGATATGGAATGAGTTTGACTACTTAAAGGGGTCATATGATGCTGCTAAAAAGAACATTATTTTGTGTATTTGGTGTAATGAAATGTGTTTATGTGGTTTAAGGTTAAAAAAACACATTATTTTCCACGTACTGTACATTATTGTTTCTCCTCTATGCCTCGCCTTTCTGAAACGCGTCGATTTTTACAAAGCTCATCGGTCTGAAAAAGCGAGGTGTGCTGTGATTGGCCAGCTATCCAGTGCGTTGTGATTGGCCGAACACCTGTGTGACGGAAATGTTACATCCCTCACCATACTGTGATGATGCCCTGTCCGGCCGAAGCGATGATTCAAAAACATTAAAACCCATTATAAATGAGGCATTCGTTGCATCCAGTGGGGACATAATTATGGATTATAATGACTTATACTGTCTTTTTACGTGTTGCGTTGCATCACATAAACATAAAATCATGTCTGCATTTGTGATCGGAGAAATGACAAACAACAAG